GACAGCCTTTTTGGCCAAATGCAGGGTATTGAGAATAATTTGCCTGGGTGAGCACTTTGACGCATATTGATGGAATTTCTGGGGTTTTGCTAAAGATCTGGTGTCATGTTTTCCGGCAAATTTGACACATACTAGTTTCTCATTGCAGTTTGACGACCGTGCGCCTGCAGCGGAAACACCGAAACATCGTTGGTTTGTGGGATTCATATTTTTCCTAGTATATTTTGACGTTCTCGATGAATCTGACATGATTTACTTGTGCAAGTGTGTCTCTGTATATAAAGTATTTGGTGTGGATTGGTATTTCAGCATCTAATGTTTTCACATATTCTAGTTGACGGGAGTCGGATCAAGCTTTTGAATATTGTGAAATTCAATGTTATTATTGATGCAGATGGCCTTGAATTCAGTAAAATCTTTGATGTTAGCAAACATCATTTTAAATTTGTTGGACGTAAATTTGGCTTGGAATGCCTGAATCTGATATTTAGATTTAAGTGGGTCAAGGAGTTTAATATGGTCTATTTTACCGTGAATATATATCGGAAGATTTGACATTTTGAGGTTTTTTAGCAGGAGGTGTTCGTGTTTGAAATGTCATTTTGTGATCCCGTATTTTGGGAGCCTGAGTCTACCTCATTGATGAGATAATCAGCTAAGACGCTGTACCTGTTTTTGGTACGGTTGAGTTGATGTATTCCATACGTTTCTGCATATTTGTGAATCTGATAAGGATATCGTCTGTTTTTCTTGGGATGGTAACCTTAAGTTGTTTTTCTGTGGCTTTTCTCTTAACCAACGCCATGCGGATGTCTTGCCTGTAGGTGTGCAGTCCAGGTTTGCTGTTGCGGCTTTATTGTTTGTGGCGATGATATGTTTTCTTCTTCGGGCGTGAGGGTTTTGATTCTCACTTGGAGTCTTTGTTTAATTTTTTATTACGCATATACTTCTTCACTGATCATTGAGCTTGCTTAACGGAGGTTGATCAGAAACTCAATTGACGACTCGCGGCGCGTTCGGAGTCGATCTTTATGCAAGGTCATTTTTCTTTGTGTCCTTCTTAATCACGTGATTGAAAAGGTAAATTATTTTCAGCAAAGGTCAATCCCATAAAATAATTGCGAAAGAAGTACTGTGTCTCGGAAATGCGTCCCTCACATTACGTTTATTGGTCCTGGACCAAGGCCAGAAAAACGCATCCCCTACTGGATTCAAAATATTATGGTACCTTTTTATCACACGATTCTGTATTTTTCTTGTTTTCTAGTTGACAACATGGGTTTTATTTTTTTATTTATTGTTGTTTTTATGTTTATTAGATCTTTTTACTTTTTACTTAGGTTTAGTTTATATTTAAATTTTTATGTGTTGAATTTATTGTTAAAAATTTGTTTAATCTGTTTCAAATGACGTAAATCTTCACTGAAAATCAATCACTATTGTGAGAATAACTAGCATAGTAAGTAATATTAAATTAATAGTAATTCTTTTAATAGTAATTCAACGAGTGCTGTTGAAATAGATCTAGAAACACGCACGGGGTTGTTCACGTGGCAACTAACAGAATTGTTTGCAAGTACACTAGAATTGTACTTATAATTATGACGTAATCACGATTTTAAAAAGTCGCGACTATTTTCGTGACACGATAGTTTATAAAGATCGCAAAACTGTTCTTCTAGAGGAGAACTTCGCGAAATTTATTTTTAATAACTTATTATTAATTAAAATTATTATTAAACTTGTTATTAATACTGTAACAGGAGTTAAGTAATATTTATGTGGATCAAATATACAATATCGATTCGACTCGAGATGATACTGATCGAGAATATCTAACAAGTTGAATATCGAGAAATACATTTAGAGGTTATTGAACCAATTTCTAATCTGACAATTTTAGAAACCTATACTGTTTGAATTATTGCTGAGAAGATCTTTGGATTTGCTGTCGATTATACCGAAATTATACCGAACGATTGAATCAGAAGTTTGAAAAAATGACAAATTTAGCTCTCTTAAACCTAAATTTCAAGAATACTAACTAACCAAAGAATATGTAGAATATAGAAAACAATCATATCAAGTATCGAAGACAGAAGGATCTGTTGGAACAAATAGAATACGATATATATATATATATATATATATATATATATATATATATATATA